GGGTGGGTTAACCGGGTTTGACCTGGACACACTCGACCCGTAATATAAAACACACAACAAGAACACAAAGTATGACCTAGACCGGGTAAATCTCCTCAGTCCGAATTATATTTCTTACTCTATCTCAAGAGTGAACTTTAGTGAGAGAAAAATTGGATCCCCTCCTCTATCCAATATCATCATATTTATAGAGGAGGATTTGTGACCTTCCCCTGTTCATCCATGGACAAAATAGGAAGCTCGTGGGAAGGTCACTGTAGATAATGGGAACACTGTACAATCATAGAATTTAGCAACTATAGGCCAAGACATGTACTGTTCAATCAAAGACTAAAATGGATATTCTCAATCCAATCAACCCTGCAAAATGACAAACATCACTTTCACTGTGTGCCTCGTGATGGATGAGCGGCGGGGTGTCCCCTTGACCTCTGATGTGGTTCACCATGCCTAATAGACTGAACCAATGTTAGCCAAGTAAAGTGATATGACCGGTCACCTTCTCTCAAAAGTTACCCGGTCATTCTTTGTGATCAACCCGTCTCTGGTCTTCTAGAATGTCCTTTGTAACATTAGGCGACATTTTGGCTATCGCCCAAAATGTGACCGGTCACTTTTTTAGTGGAAGTGACCGGTCAACCTTTGACCCGTCCCAATCGAAGAGTTAACCTCATTTGGTGATTGATAAAAGTGACCGGTCATATTTTGACCTGTCCCTTTCGGTTGTCCGGGTCGGGTATAAGGATATACCCATCAGGGGTAAAAGTAGTTTTTTAATAGAAATGTAACAAACTTTACGGGACGTAGTTTTTTCGAAACTTTTTTAGGATAAAAAGACTTTATTACCCTCCCACCCCTTATTCTTTTCTTCTTTCTTCCTGTCCAGGGCAGCAACCTAGTTGCGTGGCTTCCAAATCTATTTGTATTTATTTCACCATATTAGAGGTATGTACATGTTGACTTATGTAGTCGTATAAAAATAGTTTGAATTAGTTGTAATATTATAAAGAACATTCTTGCAACAAGAATGAATGTGACAAGAAGACTGGTTATGAATCTAATATTTTGTTGTAGTTTTTTGGTAAAGAAGGCTGATTTTTTTACAGCAACGTATTAGTCTTATTTTTATTTGTATTCAATTAAAATATTTTATGTTTTACAATTTTTTTAATTATAAAAAAATAAAAGACATCAATTTTTATCATGGGTATATCTGACCCGATATCGAGACCTAATAGATCCAAATCTAAGATTAAACTTCAAAACTCATCGGGTAAACGATGACGTGTCAGGAATAATTTTTTTTAAAAAAGTTACGAGTATAGAACACTAAGGACCGACACGAATCCGACCCATTGACAGGTCTAGTAATAACTTAATAAGGTATTTGCCCTATATGTTTTTTAAATGTAAAATTTGCACTAAATAGGATTAAAACATAATGACTTTCCCAATGTAAGACTTAAACTTTTTTATTCCCTAAATAGGATTTAATGATGACGGAGAAATAATGTCCTGTAATGATGGACATTTATTTGAATAATGACTACTTGATAATGACCAAAAGTCGGGAAATAAAAACATATGGCCGTGGGAAAGTTATTTTAGTTAAATTTCTCTTTTTAAATAGGGAGTAAACAATTGGGGGCCTGGTTTCCGTAAACCTGAATCGCATGGTTCCAGACCTCATCGCCTCAATTATCGCCCCCTCTGCCGTCCATTGAGTCTTGATCTTCTTCATCAAAGAAGGCTAACAGAGGTTTTTTTTTGGTTGAAGTCGTTTAGCCTCAATTTGATTTTAGCTTTGTAGCTTCTGTTAATTATACACACTGCTACTTCTGTTATTTAAATTAGACTTCATGACGTTCCTGCCAGTTAATTGTTGTTTATAGACTACACCATCTCATTCTAATTTGTGTAGATCTTAGAGTATGTCATGGAAGAAAAAAATGCTGACTTTTTTTTCCTTAGACGCCTAAGGTTCATGGAAAAAAGACAGCAGCTTTAGTTTATTGAAAAGAGCAATCTTGCTGGTGATATGTTCTGCTTGTCAGTTTCTAGCTTTTATTTTCTCAATTTCTTGTAAAGAATTGCTAGTTGTTTATGTTTTAAGAATAACAATATATCACTAAAGACAGTAATTAAGTATGGTATGGCTTTGCAATAAACAAAATGCAATCTTTTTTCACTTAATACTCCCTCATGTTATGCTGCAGAAGGCTCTAATGGCGAAAAGGCAACGACTTTCCAATAATTTTGCTCTAAAGAAGGTAAAATATATGAGACTCTCTTTTGTCATTCATGAATGGTCAAAATGGTTTTTCTTCATTGCTATTGTTTTATATTTTCTAGTGCTCGAAACAAGAGGATCGCATTAGTCAGCTGCCAGATGATATTCTGGTACATATATTGTCTTTCCTCAACATTAAGGAAGCAGCAGACACCAGTGTCCTATCCAAGCGGTGGTTACCCTTAAGTAGATATGTTCCTCGCCTTGATTTTGATGCTACTGCACCATTAAACCAATTGTGTCTGAATACGAAGCTACGGAAAATGCTTAGGAAAAAGTATGTCACATGGGTCAACCATACTTTGTGCAAGTGCAAAGTTCACAGATTAGATCAATTTCGTGTTCGTTTTGATATAAACAAATCCGCCCAACGTGACATTGAAAAATGGCTCGAGTTTTCCTTTGCTAGGCAAGTTAAAAGGCTAGAGTTGGACTTGTTGAGACAAGGGTGGTGCGTCCGATATTCCGACCGTTGTTATACTTTTCCTGATGTCCATAAGTTGCCACCTCTTTTGCATAACTTTAAGTCTTTAAAGGTACTTTCGTTGAAGAGCATAAATGTGACGGGGGAAGTTCTTGAGTTCTTCCTTTATAGTTGTCCATCTCTTGAAGAAATGGTGGTTCTAGGATCGTATACGTTGGTAAATCTTGAAGTCGTTGGTCCTTCCCTCAAGTTGAAACACTTGGAGATATGGGAATGTAAATCTGTGAAGTCACTTAAAATTTGTGATACAAACCTTGTAACACTTCGGACTTCAGCAGGACACAAATTATTGCTTTTTAATGTTCCAATGCTGATTGAGGTAGACATTTGCGGTTTACAGCCCACACGAATGCTACATGAATTATTGCCTTTTGCTTCCCACGTTCTCTCTCAGCTTGAGGTCCTAAAGATACATTCTTTTGATGGATTGGTCAGTGAACAAACTTTTGAAATGTATATATACCTTTACTTTTCATGTTCTAAATTGGTGTGTTTTAATTTTTTTATCAGGAGTGTTTGGAGCATTACACGGTCCCAGTACTTCCCATGCTCAAGAAATTTGTCATAACTGTGTCAGCACGGGGAGATGTGACTCTCTTAGGTTGCACGAATGTTATAGCGGCTGCTCCACAGTTGAAGGAATTTGAGTGTAAGGTATGTGTCAAGTCTTATCTGATCATTTTGAGTTTATTTTAAGGTTGAGTTTCCAAACATGAATCTGTTTCACCTAATGGTCAACTGGCATTTATCAACCCAAAAATGAATCCCGTTTTTTATACCTGGTCCACTTAAATTTTCTTTTATAACTTTCAGCCTTAGAATCTAACAGTTCTTTATTCTTATCATATGAGTATGATGAAATTTTCTTCCACAATGGAATTCTGATTCTGGCATCTTTTCCTCATTACTATTTTTTCGGTAACAAGATTTTGCGTGTCTTCTTTTTTCTTTATTATCTTGAAATTTGATAGCTTCGTGAATGATTTGACCTTTTCTAAGATTGTTTTGAGATGGAAACAAATGATTGTACTTGTTCAGTAGAACTAATTTTAATGCCCTCAATAATGTAAGGTAGCCCTACTCTCAAGTTTTTTTTTCTTTTCAACCTTTAAGAGAATGGTTCTTTTTACGTTTGATTTCTTGGGAGGTTGTGGTTGGGATTGGTGCATGCTGGGAAGTTGACAACTGTGAAGAACCTGAATTCTCTATATTTGCTTCTTAGTAATTTATGATTCAAAATCCTCTGATTTAATGTTGAAAAGAAACATTTTTTATTTGAGGGGTTATAGGAAATCAACAACAACAACAACCCAGGTGAATCTCACAACATTAGGGTCTGGGGAGGGTGTGTGTACGCAGACCTTGCCCCTACTCTGAAGTAGGGAGGCTGTTTCCAAGAGACCCCCGGCTCCACCTGCACAAAAATATGGAAGGGAACACAGTATAGCACAGATAAAGCACCAAGTACAAGCAACAAGTACAAGCAATAACAGAAGATTCCAAACAAATACAACACACTACAAAACAACATCTACAACACCGAGCTCCTATCCAGCTACTTTAATCCTAGTTTTCCAAAGGTTCCTATCTAGGGCAATATCCTCAGGTCGAGAAGTCTTAAATCCTGCCTAATCACCTCCTTCCAATTCTTCCTAGGTCTACCCCTTCCCCTAGTTCCCCCGCATCTTCGTACAGGGGCGTCAGCATCCCGCCGTCTCACATGGCCAAACCATCTCAATCTCGCTTCCCGCAACTTATCTTCCACCGGTGCCATGCCTACCTGACGTCGGATAACTTCGTTCAAAATCCTATCCAATTTTGTCTTCCCACACATCCATCGTAACATCCGCATCTCCGCCGCATGCAGACGACGCACATGAGTCTTCTTAACCGCCCAACATTCTGCCCCATATAACATAGCAGGTCTGACTACGGATCAATAAAACTTACCTTTCATTCTAGGCGAAATCTTCGGATCACACAACACCCCTGAAGCTAACCGCCATTTGACCCAAGCCACTCCTACACAATGTCCAACATCCGCATCTAGCTCCCCATCAGCCTGGATTTCCGAGCCAAGATATCGAAACCTGTCTACCTTAGGTACTAGGTGAGAGTCAATCCTGACTTCCACCTCTGATTCTGTATCCCGGCCGCTGAAACGACATTCCATGTATTCAGTACTTATTGAGGAAATCATTACTGTAAATGTCAAATGTTTGTACCACTCAAGCTCCACATAGGAACAACTGCAAAAATTATCATATCTAAAAATAGAAGATTTCTTCAAATTTTTCTCGTGGATCAAATTATAGAAGACATATTAGTAAAAAATTAATTCTTATAATGGTCCTTTAAAATCGGGTACTTTTTCAAATCAGTCTTCAATAAGTACTAATTACCTTTGTGATACGTTAGAATTGAGATTTATTCCCTTGGTGGTCTTCCGTCAACAATTTCTTATAAATGGCTGTTAAGTATAGGGTATTTTAGTATTTCCCATAGTCTAAACTTAGATTAATTAACACTGTGTTTGGTTGAAGGAATTTGAAAGGGAAAAGAAAAGAAAATGAAGTGGAAAACCATTTTTCTTGTTTGGTTAGAGGGGAAAAGAAAAGAAAAGTGGAAGGAAAAGAAAATGAGGAGGCAAAATGTACCAAGTGGAGGGAAAATCAAATTCCTTCCATTTTGGTGAGGAAAATAAGAGAAAACCATTTTCTTTTCTTTTCCTTCCAAAATTCTTGAGCCAAACATAGTATAAGTGTTTCCCAAATTAGCCATTTGAAGTTATAATAATTATTTCACCACAATTGGTCCACTCTAAGACACCTTAATGTCATGTGCCTTCCCATTAGTCATCCAGTGTTTGTCAAATTTTGATACAATTCATGTATGAAATAATTGTGATACCTTTATTTTTTGAAAATAATTTTTTGGTATATAGTCCCTCATCCCAATGTTTATGTCCACTTTCATTTTGGTTCAAATACCGATGAGAAGAGAATAAATTAAGGAAGTTACTAAAATACCCTTATAATTGAAAACCCTAAGTTGTGATCAAGTAGAAGTATCAGGATGTGGCCAGGAGGGAACATGGATAGCTTACTTAAAGATTTGAGCTTTTCTAATATTGTTTTGAGATGGAAACGAATGATTGTACATTGTCAAGTAGGAGTACTTCTAATGCACTCAATAGTTTAAGGTAGCCCTAGAATTCATGAAAGTTAGATTAATTAAGTTTGCTCAATGCAGGAAAAGAAAAGAAAAGTGGAAAAAAAACATGGGAGAAGAAATGAACTAAGAAGGACAACAACATTCCTTCCATTTTGGTTAAGAAAAATAGAGAAAAAATCTTTCTTTTCTTTTTCTTTCAAATTCTACGAACCGAACATAGCATAAGTGATATATGATTGAAAATTTCCTGGTTTAATCTTGAAAAGAAACATTTTGTATTTAAGGCGGGCCCAATTAGAGAAAATTGGATGTTTCAAGAGTTAATCAGTACTGTGAATGTCAAAGGTTTTAAGCAGTGGAAAAATTCTCAAATCTAAAAAATGGAAAATTTCTTCAAACTTCTCTTGTAGTCAGAATAATAAAAGATATATTATTAATTGTTTTGGAGGTTTATATTTTTAACTTAAGAACCTAAAGATCAACAAAAGGTTCAATTTAAGGATTGGATAATTCAGACTTCAAATGGAGCCCATTATTCACACCTTTCCTAGACCATACTCTTGTGAGGTTAAGCTAGGTGGTTGTTGTCGTCCAATGTAGTGATTCTTCTCCCCGTTTTTAGTATTGTAGAAGATATATACTCACTTCCATACTATTATTTGATTACCGTAGCTGTCCTTTTGTTAGTTTCTATATATATATATATATATATATATATATATATATATATATATATATATTAATGATTTAGCTTTCCCTTTTGACTTGAGAAACAAATTTACGATTCAATTGCAAGAAGGTTCTTTCTTTATGAATCTCGAATCTCTCGTTCGTTTTCAGTTGCATTTCTTCAAGTATTTATGCTCTACTTTGTTGTCAAATTCCACAAACCAAACATAACATAAGTGAGTTGGGGTAAGGTCTACATACACACATCCTCCCCAGTCCCTATTCTTGTGGGTTGAACTAGGTTGTTGTTGTTGTTGTTCAAAGTAGTGATTCTTCATCTTGTTTTCAGGTATGCTGTCATTTGAGTTTGTAATAACTGTGGGCGTTTGATTTTGTTATTGGCAGTTGTGGTGGTCCAAACTGTTGAGGTCCAAAAGGGAGTGTAGGAAGGTCATAAGCCGCCCTCTCCATAACCTCAAATTGGTCAGGTTGTTGGGATATTATGGGCGTACAAGTGAACTAGAACTCGTCAGGTATTTTTTGGAAAATGCTGTCGCGCTTGAGAAAATCATTGTTGATCCTCGCAATAAAATTGATCTTCCTGCCGTGTTCTTGAGAACAATTGAAAGTGAGGTGCAAATCGGAAGAGATTTTGCTAAGCTCCAGCTTGAAAGTGAAGTGCCTTCTCATATTGAGTTGGTCATACTGTGATATATAATTGCAAGAATAATTCATACTTCATCCATCCCAAATTTATTGGTCTATTTCACTATTCAAAAATCACCAATTTTTTTTGTTTATTTGTGATTTTCATTGCTAATTTGATATACATTATTAAAGTCACCTCTTATTTTGTATGTGTAGTTTACTTTTTGATGCACTTTTTTTATATATGTAAGCTTTTTTTATTTTTATATTAATCTTTAAATTAAATGAATTGAAAAGAATATAAGATTTTTCTTCCTTTAAGGGCCAATTAATTTGGAACGCCACTTAAGCATTTATACCATGGGCACGAAATACCACCACGACAAAGGATCTTACTAAACGTTTTAAAATGAGCCATTCTTTATTTTTATGAATATTACACGATACTCAATGTGAGATGCCTTGATTCACTCGTTGGTTCAATGCAAGAGGCTAGTGTGGTTTTGAATGCATTCAAAATTGCTTTGCCGTGCTTCATCAGATGGCCTACAGAATTGCTAGTGATATTTTCAAAAAATACTTAAAAATGTCGGATAAGTGTCTATAAATTTTCTAAAACTATTATTCAACTGTACCATAAGAGATATTACGGTTTGATTTGATTCATCCAAATATTATCGAGTATTAGAAATAGGGAAAGGACGAAGAAATTGCAGAGAGTTGTACTAAAAAATGGAACGCTATTTCCTGTGGTATCAAAAAGGAGTAATGCTAGAGTCACAAACTACTGGGACACAAATTACACAAACTTGCTATTTATGTATCTCAATTTTCATTTTGTAAGCATTTAATATCACTTTATTCAATTGGAAAAGTACAAAAATAGCAAGTTTGTGTAATTTGTGTCCCAGTAATTTGTGACTCTAGCATTACTCATCAAAAAGCGAATTTAAACCTTTAGGGAAATTGGGACACTCCCTATTTCAAGAAAAAACAGCGAGAAGGGAAAGTGAAAAAAAGCATTCATTATTTTAAGCGAACCGGTACATGTAAAAATACTCCGTAGTAACTAACTCTCTTTGTCCCAAATTAATTGGCTCTTAAAGGAAGAAAAATCTTATATATTCTTTTCGATTCATTTAATTTAAAGATTGGTATAAAACTAAAAAAGCTTACATTTATAAACAAAGTACATCAAAAATTATACTACACGTACAAAACAAGAGGTGACTTTAATAATTTATATCAAATTAGTAATGAAAATCACAAATAAACAAAAAAATCCCGTGATTTTTGAATAGTGAAATAGACAAATAAATTTAGGATGGATGGAGTATGAATTATTTCTGCAACAGTATGACCAACTCAATATGAGGAGGAACTTCACTTTCAAGCTAGAGCTTAGTGAAAACTCTTCTTATTTCCACCTCACTTTCAATTGTTCTCAAGAACACAACAGGAAGATCAATTTTATTCCAAGGATCAGCAATGATTTTCTCAAGCGCAACAGCACTTTCCAAAAAATACCTGACGAGTTCTAGTTCACTTGTACGCCCATAATATCCCAACAACCTGACCAATTTGAGGTGACGGAGAAGGCGACTTATGACCTTCCTACATTCCCTTTTGGACCTCAACCGTTTGGACCACCACAACTGCCAATAACAAAATCAAACACCCACAGTCATTACAAACTCGAATGACAGCATACCTGAAAACAAGATGAAGAATCACTAGTTTGAACAACAACGTTAACAATATTTTTTTGAACAAAGCACAAATATATTAACTCCAAAAGTAGTTCCCAGTACAAAATGTATCAAACAACTACAAGAAAAAGCACCAAACAACACCATCCTATATAAAATCATTGGCTAGCTACCCATTATAATGTTGATGTGTTCTTTAATAGTCTTCAGTGTGTCCACCACAGTCATCTCCTTGTTGTGAAGCTTAGAATTTCTAACTTTCCATATGAAGTAACATCAAGTTACAACACAAGCAGCAATAGTCCTCCTCTCTTCTGTTCCTTCCCTTATTTATTCTCTGTCCCAGCTTAGCAAGGGAAGTAGAGTCCATGTCATACTGGATAGTCATAAACATATGCTGGTAAATACTCTTTGCAAATGGACAGTTGTAGAAGAAATGATCAGCAGTCTCATTCGTCTTGTTGCATAGGATACATATAGTATCAATTGGTAAGGACCTACTGAGCATGTCCTTTGTTAGTATTCTGCCTTTCCAGATTAGCCATGCTATAAACTGATATTTAGGTATGGAGAATATATTCCAAACCAGATCAGCCCATTCCACATTTGGTTGGAATCTAGTATGCCATTTATACCCTTCTTTGATAGTATACCCCTGGTCTATGATCATTCCATCAAAGTCTTTTCTGATCTGCATTAGAAGTACTTCTACTTAACAATGTACAATCATTCGTCTGAAAAAAATACTCTCTTCGTGTGTGTGTGTGTGTGTGTGTGTGTGTGTGTGTGTGTGTATATATTATATATAAAGGAGAGTTCATCAGTTGTAGTGGAGACACGTGGCGTATGACATGACAAAAATTGTATCTACATGGCATAGTGTCATCATTTTATTGGTCCACATGGCATTTATTAGTTTATTTTTTATTTAAAAGATTGTTCATGATCATTTCTTTTGATTACCATAAACGTGTATTTATAATATACTTTTCATATTCTAATTATTATATTAATATGTCCTTCATCATTTTAAAATATATTTTAATATCTTATAATTAATTAATTACTTTTTTAAAGGTTATATAAACTTTATTAAATGTTTTAAAAGACAACTGTTTATATAAATTTTTGCACCATTTTCCCATGATAAGTGTAATAAATATGAAAGTTTAGATTATAAAGAATAAGATTTTAGTGCATAAAAAGTTGTCAAAAATTCATATTAAAAATTCAAACTTTTCCTCTAAAATTTTAAATAAATTTTTGTATCAAAATTATAAATTTGATTAGTGAAGTGTAAAATGACAAGAGTTATAGAGGAAATTAATAAACATATCCTCCCCACGCATACCATGATATCTCCAATAATGAAATGTCTATGTAAGTTATTTAAAAAAATTAATGTATTATCCTTCATATGTATAAATGTGTTTAATTTTATGCATTCTATCAATAGGCAATGCGATATAACAATTTTAAGTGCAATTCACTTTATTATTTAATCTAGGTTTATATTTTAATATAATACAGAGTAACAATTTTATAGATATATTTTACAGAAAAATATGCGAGCCCGTGCGAAGCACGAGGTAAAAACTAGTACTATCTTATTACAGAATGGGTATCGCTTTGTTTTAGAATGAATACCTCGTAAATGAGTATTAAACAAATGTATGAAAATGAGTATTACATTATTTTAAAATAAGTACTATTTTATTTTAGAATTGAAATTCCATAGAAATCAATTCGATAGAATTGAATTTACCAATTTTAATTCATTTTTTGCACTATCAATTCCAAATAACTTTTTGTGCTAGCAAACACTAGAATTGGAATTGAAGTCTTCAATTCCAATTATACAGTTTGAATTCCATGTACCAAATGTGGCCTAAATAAAATTGAATATCTCGAAAGCAACATTTGTGGTTTAAATTTTATAATGTGACAAAATGCTATTGTGAACTTAAGATCTATGTCATTTTAGATAGGCTTTTATAGAAAAGTGATAAACAAATACATACTACCATGAAATTAAAAAAAATAGAAAAAGGAAACAAATACTCCGTACTTTTTATGTAAAATGTCCACAAAAATGATTTGTACATTAGGTCCATTAATTAAAGAAATGACCCTTAAATTAAGGGCTTATAGCATCCCCCCGTGGTTTAATTTATAAAAGAGACGCCAAAATCTCATCAATGAAGTTATTTGTAAATTGTCTATGATTTTTAAATGGTGCACATACGCTCCTAACCTTTTTTTGAGTTAAAATGATATTTATTCACATTCTTTAATAGAAAATATAGTTTCACTCTTATATTTTTACTTTTTTATTTTTATACAAATAAATAAAATAACATATAGGTTTTCCATTTCAAATTATTTTTTTCAATTATTTATTTTTCAAAGGAAAAAGATTTTTTTAGAGAACATTACAAAAGAAAATAAAATATATAAAAAATGAAGTGAACTACATAATTGGATACAATGTAAAAGAAAAAATAACAAAAAAAGGTAATGAAAAAGAAAGAAAGAAAATAAAAAAGCTACCTTTTTCTTTTACTCCCTAATTCATTTTATGGATATTTTAGAATACGTTTCCTGACTTTCCTCTATGGACTAAACTTAAAGGATTATAAATGCAGAAATGGAAGATAAATGAAGAGGCCTTAAAGCTCTAAATGCCATTCCATAAGTAGACCATAAACCAACATTATAAAATCCAAGAAGATAAACTAAACCCCCCACCACCACCACCAACAACAACAACACAAATTTCCTCATCAATATCCAAACAATAACTTCAACCAACAAATGGCGGGAAGCGGCAACGATGGCAAGGCAAAGGCGGTGATCCCAACAATCGACCTGCTAGACTTCCCGGCGCAGTCGAAAAAACTGGTGGAGGCGTGCGAGGAGTGGGGGTGTTTCAGGGTCGTGAATCACGACCACATCTTGCCCGCGTCGCTCATGGAGGAGATGAAAGAAATGACCAAGTCTCTCTTCGATCTCCCAAAGGAGATCAAGAAGAGAAACAAGGACAATGTCCTTGTGGGGAGTGGGTACGTGGCCCCAACGTTTTGGCGCCCGCTCTATGAAGCGCTTGGGCTCTATGATATGACCTCTCCTCATGATGTTGAGCGCTTTTTTAATGACTTGGATCTCTCACCACACCAAAGGTTAGTTTTCCTCTTCAACTTCTTATTTTTGTGTTAGAGTAATTAAATATGTCACTTCTTTTATTTATGCTGAAATGTAATGTCTCTGATCTCTTGACATAGAAATTATAAACTTGAGTTTTCAGTTAAGTTGATTATTTGACATGATATATTAATAAGAACGTTTTAGACTAAGTGAAATTTGCACTAAATAGGACTAAAACATAATGACTTTCCTAATGTAGGACTTAAACTTTTTTATTCCCTAAATAGGACTAAATAATGACCTCGTGGGAGGAATAATGTCCAGTAATGCTAGACATTTACTTGATTAATGACTATTTGTTAATGACCAAAAGTCTTACATTGGAAAATAAAAACAAATGGTCCTATATTGGGAAAGTCATTATGTTTTAGTCCTATTTAGGTAAATTTCTCTTTAGACTAATTAGTGACCACAAAATGGTGTCGGCCTTAATTTTATGTGGTCCATTATTTCTAGATATTCGTTATAATATTTTAATATTTTTAAAATTAATTTTTTGAGTGTAATTATATTTCTTCTGTTCCAGTGCAATTGTCATATTCGGTTTTTTTACAGAAAGATGTGACAAAATTTGATCTTCATTTAAAGAAATATTACATTATATATTTATAAAATTAAATAAGTTTCTATAAAATAATTGCTTGTGATTGTTTGTGTATGATGCACACTATCTATGTTGGTGATGATCGCAGAGAGATAATAGTGAAGTATGGCAAAGGTGTGGAAGGAGTGATGAGGGAGGTGATGAAGCAACTATGTGAAGCCGTGGGCGTGAAAAGGGAACAACATGTTGATGAGTGGTGTTGGCAATTGAGACTGAACAAGTACCATTTTACCCCCGAGGGCGTAGGCTCCCCGGGAGTGCCGATACACACAGACGCCGGATTCCTCACCCTCCTCCAAGACGATGAAAGCGTTGGGGGGCTCGAGGTCATCTCTAGATCCGGCGAAGTCGTGGTTGTTGACCCCGTGCCCGGTTGCCTCCTCCTTAATCTCGGTGATGTGGCTGTTGTAAGTATAATACTCGCTCCAACTAGAAAATCTTTCTCCTTTCTTTTTTTTTAATCTATTCCAAAAACCACTTCTCATTTCTATTAAAAAGTCACTTTTACCCCTTACTTTTTCATACCCTACCTATCACATCATAACTAATAATCTATTCATCAAATCCTACTTTTACTCATCACATCAAAGGACATTTTTGTAAATTCAATACAAAAATACACTCCATTTAAATCTATTTAAAAAACAAAACATCTCATGTTTTCCGGGACGAAGGGAGTATAAAATTTATTTCCTCTCCATTGCACCCCGCAAAGTCAGTTTTATGGCCTCTCTCTTTAAGTGGAATATTGAAGTATTCTTACTCCAACCACTATTAATCGCTTCCACCTAGTCCTGACCACTAGCTATCCCCAGCTCATGTCAATTGCACCCCGCAAAGTCAAGTAAACTTGTGGAGTGTAATTGACGTGGGTGCATGAGGATAGGTTGAGGGCGTGACTAAACAGAGGGATTTACCTGAGGTAAGAGTACAAACTATAAATTTTGCAAACGAAACATCATAGGTGTCTCAAATGAGACAGTAGTGACTTCGGTGGCGACTCGTTTGAAAACAAGTCCAATCAAACACTATGAACCGCAACGAGAAATTTATATATAATTATTTTTAGAAGTGGTAAGAATTGAATTTATTTATTTTTGGGTGTATGTATAATTAGCTTTGGAGCAATGGGAGATTTTGCAACACGAGGCATAGCGTGATGTGCAGACAAGGGAGCGTTCGGTACTCAATAGTGTCCTTCTTTCTGGGTCCAAAAGAGGGCGTGGCGGTGGAGCCGCAGCCGGAGTTTGTGGACCCCACTCACCCGCCGATGTATCTTCCGGCCACCTACTTCCAACTCCGCAAGTTCCGGATGGAAAACAACATGCACGACGGCGAGGTTCTTGAACTTGTGCGCGCTCCTGCTCCGGCGGCCACCCCTGCTGAACCTGAAAAATAATTGTACTCTCCCGCGTCCGGCCGCGACGGAGTCGGTCCTCATGTGATGTCATATGTTTAAGTTTATTTTGGTTTTTAATAAGCTTTGCTTCATAAGAGCATGTTGCTATTTATTATTCGGTCTTGTCTCAAAAAAAATGGTTTGATTTTGTATCTTTTTAAATTTTTACCATAATGTTGGAAACTGGAAAGATACATTGGTTCTTTTGATATTGTTAATGAATGTCATATGGTTTCATCAGGCACCTATAATATTTACTTAAATAGGACAAATATATAATGACATTTTCAATATATGACCATAAATTTTTATTTCTCAATGCAACACCATTGGTCATTATTCATTAGTCATTATTCAAATAAAATGACCACCATCAATGGACATTATTTTTCACACCAGACATTATTACGTACCATTTAGGCAATAAAAATTTTAAGTCATATATTAAGAAATGAATTATGTTTTAGTCCTATTTAGTGCAAATTTCACTAATATTTATTGTTAGTTCCATGTGTTATCATTCTCCATTGTTATACTTAATGAGTTATTGTAAATCTGTTCTCATTATTTTTTAACAAATGAATAGATCTTAGTTTATATATTGTTGTAGTTGGTTGTTTTGTGTTAGAGTAGAGTTGTATTATCCTGTGCATCAGGGCCGGCCCCGAAAAATGAAAAAATAAATTTGGCCCGGTCCTAAATTTACATTTTGTGCCCTATTTTATTTTTTTAGAATACTTTTTCTTTAAAATTATTAACAAATTTAAAAATATGGTGCCCTAAAATTTTAAGGGCCCTGTGCGGTTGGTCACTTTGCACACCCTCCGGGCCACCCATGCTGTGCATCATTATATTGTTAAAGCTTTTGCTGCATCACTTGGTCTACCTCATGCTGGGAATAAATTCAACTCAAGAGAGCTGAGGAGTTTAACTACTTGAAAATACCCGAGAAATATATCCAATGATCATTGTCTCGAAGAAGGTGTAACAAGTCATTGAAGATGATTCAAGCATGGCTTGAGTTAGAAGCCATACATAAAGTAGATCAATCTTCCCATGAATATTACATCAAGAAACTTTTAGTGTATGTGTTTGGTGCAACTTATTATTTTGGTTTAGTGAAAGAATATTGCATGCACAAGCATGTTTCTTTCATTTTTTCTTTCTTTTTCTCTCTAACCAAACAAGCTATTTTTTACTTAATTATTTTCTTTTCTTTTATTTTGACAATCAAATTCCTTGAATCAAACATAGCATTAAACCAAGAGATCGAGATGGGCTTTAATAAGCATTTTAATTTAACAAGTTTACTATGTGTGGTTTTAGCCGAAATCAAAGAGATTTGTTTGAGTAACGAAACTCGCGATTTAATTTTTCTGGATTGAAGTTTAAGAACAAGATAAATCAATTTGAGTATTAAATACTCCGTAATAAAAAATGGAAGGTTGGCCCTACCTCACAACCATGGCGAACACGTTCGATCACTAGCTTTTAATAAGTTCATAAATGTCTCTTTGTAATTTGTATTTATATGAAATCATTATATATAAAGGGATTCCATTAATAAAGACCACCACTTAAACACTTATTTAATGACAAAAACTTCAAATGACAATAACATATTTCCTCACCCCAAACAAATTGGTGCCCACAAATACTTTTAAGAACAACAATAAATCTTTGTTGCATACATTCTGCAACTTATTTAATAATGAATTGAATTTCAATATATATATATATATATATATATATAAACCGGCAGTTGGGACGCGAACCACGATCCCCGAGTCATCGACCCAAATGCGGACGCGGTGAGTCACAAACGCTTCTGACACAGTGGTCCCTTCCTTAACCACCTCCCATTGCCTCACTTTACGATTCTCCTTCTTTATTGTTGCAATTGCCGTCTCCGAGTCCTTTCCCAATAGCTCCGGCCACATGTGCTTTCCTACACACACACACAAAATCATCTCACATAAAGGTTCTTGTGTCCTTAATAATAATGTACAAAGTTCACATGCATGTTGTTTTCTGTACATCCGGATGTATGCAGGGGCGGATCCACCCTTTAGAATATGGGGGCAGCTGCCCCCAATCAATTTTTTTAATATATGTATATTATTAAATTTTATATATAATTGCCCCCAATAAAAAAATAAATCTGCCCTCAGTCCATTATTTAGCCCAAACCAATTAATTTCCTAAAGTCCAAAGACCCAATTCCAAAAGTGGTCCAATTGTCCAAATTCCCAAAAATAAAATTTATTTCCCTTCCAATTATTTCCAAATTTACTGTTTTTCCCTTGGCGTTTGCGGAAACTGAGAAGCAGGAGCAATTGAACCGCCTAAGTGCCGAACACTGGAAGTGGAATCCGAACAGGAGCACCCGCTGCACCGCCGTCGTGCGTCCGCCGCGTCGCCGCCAGTCCCCCACAGCTTCGAATCGTTCGATCGAGTATCGCACAATCGTAGAATCGCACAAGCATCCAAGTATTTCCAAATACTCCCTCCGTCCACCTAAGATCTTCCCATTACGTGTTACCAGGCTTGACCGACTTTATTTTCAATTCAATTTAATTGATTATATGAGTAAAATTTTAAAATAAAATTTATATAGTAATAAACTACATGAAAATTTCTACAAAACTAGATGTAACAAGATTATTTTATTTTATGAAATGACTAGTAAAAATGAACAAACAAAGCGAGTAAAGTTTGACTCTGTGAATAATGTCTAGAAAAATCTATAAAATGAAATTTTATAGATAATTTTTTTATTTTTCAATTTTCTATAAAATGAAATTGTTTATTATGTTGATTATTATTGATTAAAACTTATAATTATCCCAAAACATATGAATTGATGACTCTAGTCTCTAAAAAGATATTAAATCTCCATTGATATACTTGAATAATTTGTTCTAATTTTTGTACATAGATTTAGTAAAAAAGTTTATTTCATTTTATATTTTTAGATAATGGAGAAGTTTATAAACGGAGCTCAACACGTGATTCTGGACCATCTGTACCTTCACTAGCTAAAAAAATAGATTTAAGTGAATTTTATCTTATTTTTAATTTAATTTTAATGGTAAGAAGTATGCTCAATTCTATCTTGTTTTAAAAAAATTTTTCACTTTAATTTACTTAATGCCCCCAGTGAAGAAATTTTCTGGATCCGCCACTGGATGTATGGTACGTTTCAGAGATCTAGTGAATACTCACTTACAACTTGCGAGCTAGTAACATAATACTCACGTTGCATATTTCTTTATGAGATGAGTATTGTGGTGCTCGTAAATGTATGAAACGAGTATTATATTGCTCATCTTTGCAGATGTATGAAAGAGAGGGATACTTGACTAAAGTGGCAAAATAGTACTCCGTAGAGAAATAATTTTGTGTTAATTTTTCAAAAATACCTTTGGATGATGGGTAAAACTAGAATGTGATGTGTAGATTATTAGAAAAAAGATATGATGTGATAGATAGGGTATGAAAATGTAAGAGGTAAAAGTGATTTTTTTAATATAAATGAGAAGGAGATTGTGGGACACCATTTTTTAAAACGTGTGTTAAATATATTCTTACTATATTTAATATTAATGTATATTGTAGCTACCTTATTTGTATAGGGTGTATTAATTATTGTTTCCTATTGTCATTAGGAAACTCTTGTATATATACACATGTAATCTCTCATAAGAATTCAATATAAAATATTCATTCTTCATGGTATCGGGGCCCTAATCTTTCACGGCTTCCCTTCCCCTTCTCCTTCTTGAGTTTCGGCCAAGCCCCCAACCCCCCCTCCCTCGTCGGATTCTTCTTCCCCCGGCAACCATGGCCGACTCCGCCTCATCTGGCAAAGTCACCAACAACAACGAAACCTCTTCTCCAAATAATTCTCCTCATCTTGCCTTCACCACCATCTCCAACATCAAACTTCATATCCCGGTTCAACTCAGTCTCTCAGAACCAAATTATAAAAAGTGGAGTCGATTATTTCGTCTCTTGATCCTCCGCTTCAATCTCAAGGGTTTCATCGACGGCACGACCATAGCCTCCTCCGCAGACGATGTTGAATGGTATCAATTTGATGCCTTAATTCAGGGATGGATCCTGTCCACAATCACTGATGAAGTCTCCGATCTTGTGCTTGCCAACAATCTCTCTGCTCATGCCCTATGGAAGGCAATCTACAATCTTTTTCACGACAATAAGCATGCCCGGGCGATGCAACTGGAGCATCGTTTTCGTACAACTGAGAAGGGGCAACTCTCCATCAACGAATATTGTCGCCTTCTCAAGAACCTCTCCGAATATCTTGATGATGTGGATGCTCCTGTCACCGAACATGCCCTCGTCCTCCAAGTTCTTCAAGGTCTCCCTCACGACATCCGAGGTCAAGTTCAATTCCTTCAATATCAAAATCCACTCCCGACGTTCTTGGAGGTTCGGTCCGCGTTACTCCTCGTTGAACAGCAGCAAAACGACGCCATATATGCCGCCGGCGCGCCGTCCACAGCCCTACTCAGCACCGGCAGTGGCGGCAATTATGCGGGCAGCGGACACCGGCAGGACCGAGGCAGCGGCTACGGCGGTTCTGGGAGCAGCGGCAGCTTTGGCGGCGGACATGGCGGCGGCTCCGGCGAACCGGGATATGAAGTTTGATGTTGGAGATGGTGGTGAAGGCAAGATGAGGAGAATTATTTGGAGAAGAGGTTTCGTTGTTGTTGGTGACTTTGCCAGATGAGGCGGAGTCGGCCATGGTTGCCGGGGGAAGAAGAATCCGACGAGGGAGGGGG